ACAACTGTGTACACATAGGTAAACTAAATAATTCATATCACCGGGAAAACTTAAATTTTGAAGACCCAATCTGTGCTCTTCTGGAATAGGCACAAGAAACCTGAATTTTCTCTCCAAAACCCTTTTAGTCATTTTTAAAATATTTTTTTAAAAACATTTATTTGAAAGGTAAAGTGACAGAGAAAGAGGGGGATAGATAAGATCTTCCCTCTGCTGGCTCACTCCCCAAATGCCCACAGCAGCCAGGGCTCTGCCAGGCTGGATACAGGAGCCAGGAACTCCATCCAGGCCTCCCGGATGGGTGGCGGGGGCTCAAGGATTTGAGCCATCATCTGCTACCTCCCTGGAGCATTAGCAGGGAGCTGGATGGGGAACATGGAGCAGCAGGGACTGAAACGGGGTGTTCTGTGGGCGGGGACAGCCTTCCTGTGAACACCACGGCAGCCGGGGTGATGGAGCCTCGGAACTGTCAATCTTACTGATTTCTCAACTTGACCTTCATAACCTTATTGTTAACTTGTTTTAAGTAACTGCATAGTAATTAATAGTTGCATTGAAGTAAAAATAAACACCCAATGATGCGTAGCACACAAAAACAATATATTCACTGATATCTTTATTCAAACTTTATCTAAAGTGATATTCCAAAACTCTTCTTTTATATTTCTCGGTAAAGCTGTTTTGAAGGTGCCCTTCACAGGTGCATTATTAACTTGTGCACAGAGAAATCTGAAGTCCTATAACTATCTTTTACCACGGTATTTTTACCCAGTCATTTACTGGCAATTTTATGCTAATAAATGGCTGCCAGAAATCATTAGAACATAAGAGAAATGACCACAGTTCCCTGAGATCACAGCCTAACTTCACTGTAAAATATAGAATACTGCCATTTGTGGAGCATTCGTTGAGTTGGTTTTCAGGGTTGAGTGGCTTGCACACATGACCTCACTCTCATGGTGGTCTGCGTGTCCAGTGTCCACTTAGAAGAAGGAACTCAGAGGCCCAGAAAGAGAGTGATTGGCTCAAGGCCACCAGATCAAAGTACCACAGCACCACCAGTCCCAGCCAGAACAGCTGGCTGTCGGGGCCATACGTGGGGTCTTTGAGGAAGAAGCTAAGCATGGATTTCAAAAATACTTGCACCAGAATGGGCTCATTCTGTTCCCAGGAGCTCTTTAAGGCAACTTCAGTTTGCAAACACAGGTCCTCGTTTCATCTCTAGCCACAGCAAAAGGTGCTTGCTCTCAACGTAATGAAAGGCAAGCCATCTGGTGCTCACCCTGTGAGCACGGGGCCTGCAGACTGCCTGGAGCTCCTGCCTCGGGTTCCGGATCCATGCTCCATGAGGGGTCCAGGTCCATGCTCCATGAGATCCCAGGTCATCAGTGTGCAGTCCATGGACAGCATCGTGGCTTTCGGGGTCGTGCTGGGAGGGCATGATGGAGGCTGGGGGTGCCGCCTCCATTGCAGACAAGACAGCTTGAGAGAGGAGAGAAGTGGTTTTCAGGGAGGAATTACGACTGCAGTTTCATCCTAAAGTTAAAAATGCCATGGACAGGTGGAGGCTTCAGGAAAATGTATTTTGGTCCAGGAAAAGGAAGAATGTTCTGGAACTAAGGCTCCACACCCCTCTGGAGCTGTGGCTGTGCTGTGTTGATCAGGGAAGTGATGTCTTAGAGAGGCAGGTGCCGAAGTGCTTCCTGAAATCTAAGTCTATTCTAATTTCATACACAGAAGCGACTGCACTAACTTGCAGGCGTAGCTGCCTGAGGAGGAGCAAAGTCCATGGGGTGCTGCTGTTTTTGGCCTGCATGCTGCGGGTCCATGGCCACACGCTGAAGTGGGGGGGCTCTTGCTGGGGTCTACCTAAGGAGCTGCTACACCGGGAGACACAAGTCCAAGACAGCCGTGTTCTGAAGGTCCAGAAGAAGGCAAAACCCCTGCCACGCATGTGGGAGACCATGGTGGGGCTCCTGGTTCTGGGTGTTGGCCTGGCCCAGCCCTGGCTGTTGGGAGCATTTGGAGAGTGAACCAGTAGATGGATGATCTCTCTCTCTCTCCCTCTCTCTCCCCCCTCCTGCATCTTTCTCTTTCTGTTGTTTTCTTTTCTTATACATAAAATCAAGAGCAGCAACAAGGAACAATAATCAGAGAAGGCGGGGCACAAATGGAGAGGAACCCCAGACAACAAGGATGGCATGTGTGTGTAGGGAGTTTAGCTAAACTCTTTGGGAGGCTATGTTTGTAAACGTTGGAGTCAGGGAAGGGACGAGGGAGAGAGGGTGTCACACATGGCTGTGACGCCCGACTCATACCCTCTCATTAGGCATCCAGGCCTTGAAGCTGGCTCTGATCACTTCCTCTAAGCCCACGTGTTTTAGGACTGGGCTACATGTGCACAGAGATACCCCAGAGCTGAGAACCCCGTCAAGCAGCCCGGGGTCACAGAGGGACCCCAGAGCTGAGAACCACCTGCCAAGCGGCCTGGGGGCACAGAAGGTGGAAGCCAGGCTGGAGAAACCAAAAAACAGGAGTGACAGTGCCCGGAGCACCCATGCCTCTGCAGGACCCAGAGCCTTACACATGGACATCCAGGACTAAATTCCTTCCAATCCCACAGGCCTGACCCCAGCCCCTCCCATCCAAGCTTGCCCAGCTGTCTCCCACCTAATCCATGAGCTTTCCCGACCCAGGGAGGCAGCCATGGGTCATGTTCCCAACATCGAGTGAAATCATGTAGAGTGTGTAAACATAGAATGAGATATCATACAGGAACATGTAAACATGGAGATCATTGATGAGTGTAAACATGGAACAAGACATCACATATGAGCATGTAAACATGGACTGAGGTCACGTACAGGTGTGAACATAGAGATCATTTATGAATGTAAACATGGAATGAGGCATCATATGTGAGCATGTAAACATGGAGTGAGGTCATGTACAGGTGTGAACACGGAATGCAGAACATGTGAAATGTGCCAGCTACAGACCTCACGTTGGGCCCCTCACGCCACCTGTGGGAGACTCCTATGATAAGCTAGCCAGTCCTCTCCATTCTCTTTTGCCCTGGTCCCTCCCACTGGTATTTGCTGAGGGTGCCTGTGTGCCAGGTGCTCTCTGTAGGTACGGAGACACAGCAGTGAACAAAATTAAAAACACCTGGGGTGAGCATTGTGCCACAGTGGTTAGGCTGCTGTACTCCATGTAAGAGTACCTGGGATCCAGTCCCACTTGGGTTCCAACCCAGCTTCCTACTAATACCCTCATGGCAGTGGATGATGGCCGAAGTGCTTGGGTCCCTGCACCGACATGGTAGACCAGGATGGAACTCCCGGCTCCTGGCTTCAGCCTGGCCCTGCCCTGGCCGCTGCGGGCATCAGTGGAATGGAGTAGTGGATGGAAGAGCTCTTGCTCCTTCCCTCCCTCCCTCGCTGCCTTTCAAGCAAAACAGTTAAGTGTTCAAGTAGAACCCTCCCTGTCCTAATGCAGCTAGCCCTCCTCCACTTGTTTTGTCATTTCCTTTTTTTTCTTCCTTCTTCACTGAAATGCACATGCCAAGTGCCAGGACCTCTGTTAACTGTACCGCGTCAGCCAGCTCACTCAGTGCTCTGAGCTCCGTGTAGAGTGGCAGCCTGGTACGGCGTCAGCCAGCTCACTCAGTGCTCTGAACTCCGTGTAGAGTGGCAGCCTGGTACCGCGTCAGCCAGCTCACTCAGTGCTCTGAGCTCCGTGTACAAGTGGCAGCCTGGTACCACGGCAGCCAGCTCACTCAGTGCTCTGAGCTCTGTGTAGAGTGGCAGCCTGGGCATCCTTGCTGTCTGAGGGCTGGCACAGCTGCCTCAAGCCTGCGGCGGGTGGCACGGCCTGCAGTCTGCAGCCAGGGCCTGCTCTCCTTCTTCGAAGCCCTCTGCCCTTTTGCTCTCTTCTCCAAGGCTTTACTTACCTGTGTTTGTTCTCAGAGTCCATCCATTTTAATGACCCATCTAACCCTTCAGACAGATGGCCTCAAAATCCTTCCGACCCCTGCTCCCCGCAGAGCTCCAAGGCAAGACTTTGTTCTTACCATAAACCCTAGACCTTCCAGGAGCTGCCAGGCCTGAGTCATGGACCCGCCTGCCCCCAGCTTTATCTGCAGCCATGCACCAGGCCCTGAGTCCTCCGCTTGCCCCGGAACCGCTGAGTCATGCAGGGGCCTACTGCCCCTCCCCTGCAGCCTCAGAGGGGGTCTCTTCCTCCTTTCCAGCTGATATTCACCCTCACAGGTCAGCTCAGAGGCCCTCAGGGGCTGCCCTGGTCCCTGCGCCGCCTCCCAAGTCTGTTTTTTTCCTGCAGGACTGGCCAGGACTGCGGTGTGTGTCTGCCACATTCTGTGCCAGTCTCTCCCAGCAGCTCACACGGCTCTTTGAGGACAGAGTCCTGCATTCCCTCACTCTGTGCCTTCTGAACCTCTTCACAGCCCCAGAGAAGCACGGCCATGTGCTGAGGAATGGCGGAGGCCTGCAGGCTCCTGCCCCACCCATGGCTTCAAACTCACGCACACCACAGTTGTGCTCAGTCCTGCTGACAATCATACCTGGGGCTTGTCTGCTCCCTGGGCGCCCTCCCTGACTGTGCCTCCCTCTGGGGATGCCACCCTCTCTGTCCAGCCTCCTGCTCCTGGTCCACAGGGGTAGCGTTGGTGGGCTCTTCTGAAGCATTCCTCTAAGAAATAGCTCAGCCCACATCTGTGCCCCCTCCGAGATTTGCTTTGCACACCCTGGTGCATCTCTTACCAGACCCTCACTGAACTGCGCTGGACAATGGTCTCCTGTTTAGACTTGTTGCTGGGCTGCACACCTGCTGTTAGCATGCTCACAGCCAGTCACAGAAGTGAGTGAGGGGTGCAGGTGCAGCACAACACCCAGGTGAGGGTGTGGGGTGCAGGTGCGGCTGGGGCTACGGCTGGAAGCACCAGGTCCCCAGAGGTGAGGCTCCCAGGGATGTCACTTTGTCGCTGTCTTTCTGGGTGGCAGACTGGCCGGCTTTCACCGGGAGTGGCTCAGTTGGAGTCCAGCCCGGGGCAGCAGATAAACCCGTTGGGCGGAGACTGACAGGGGCAGCGAGGAAGGTCGGGATGGCCCAGCGAGACGGGGCGGCGGAGCCTGGGTGCGCAGCATGGCCTCGGGGGCGCCCGCAGACCGGCTGCGCGACGAGGCCCGCTGCCCCGTGTGCCTAGACTTCCTGCAGGAGCCGGTCAGCGTGGACTGCGGCCACAGCTTCTGCCGCGCCTGCATCTCTGAGCTGTGCGAGAAGGCAGAGAGCTCGCGCGGTGGCGTCTACGCCTGCCCGCAGTGCCGCGGCCCCTTCCGGCCCGCGAGCCTCCGGCCCAACCGGCAGCTGGCCGGCCTGGTGGACAGCGTGCGGCGGCTGGGGCTGGCGGCGGTCCCGGCGGGGGCGCGGCGCTGCGCGAGGCACCGGGAGCCACTGAGCCGCTTCTGCGAGGAGGAGCTCCTGGCGCTGTGCTGGGTGTGCGCGGCCGCAGAGCACCGGGGCCACCGCACCGCGCCGCTGCCCGAGGCGGCTGCGCGCTACCAGGTGAGGCTCCGGGTGGGGCTCTCGGATGCCGCCAGCTGGGGCTCCTGGGAGCTACAGGAGAGGCTCCTGGGCCCCGCGAGGTGAGGCCAGAGAGGCTCCGGTCGGTGTGACCCTCACCGCTCCAGGGTCCTGGGGTCTGCCTGCTTGTGCTGGTTGAGTCCGGGCTCTGGTCATCTGGGGACGCCTCCTTAAGACTGGCCGCTATTCCTAGGCCCTCCCAGCCCTTTGATGTCGCTCACGGCGTGTCTTGCGGGTGCCCACGGCCCAGAGGAGGCCGAGTGCCCTGCGGGGTCTTGATTCCATGGGGCATCTGCAGCGAGCTCTCGCTGGGAGTCTCAGGTGGGCAGCACCTTGCATGGCTTTGCGTGGTGCTCTGTGGGCGTGACTGATGCAGCCACCATTGTGGGCATCGTTGGGAGTGGCTTGGGCTCGACAGGTCACGGCAGAGCACACGCCTGGGCTGCCCAGCCCAGCAGAGCCGGACTGCCATCTGAGCCTCCTGGTGGGCACATTGCTGCACCAGCTCTGAACCCACTCTCGGGGCCACACCTGAGGCCAGGGGCCGTCTCCTGTCTCCCCGGGTGCTAACCACTGGGCCATCCCACTCCACCGCGCAGTAACTTCCTTAGTTACTTAGTTCCTTAGCCCAGGGCCTGGGCTCCTTCCCCTCACCTTCCCTCTGCAAACCTCTCGTCTGCTTTTCCTTCTTCATTTATGTTACCATCTACAGAGTGAGTCCAGCACCTTCCAGGTAGATGCCATCCCTCCTTCCTCCCGTTTGGAGTGAGGCTGGAGGTCTTTCTAAAGCTGTTCTCTGCGTTATTTTTTGAATAAAATAGGAGTGCAGCGCTAACCCCGGCAGCAGGTGCTAAGTCATGCTTCTGAGGCCTTTGGTGTACCCAGCCTTGGCCTCCAGCGAAATTTGTGTCCTCACTGTTGTCCACTCTTGCTCTCACCTCCCTGCTTCTGAGGCAGTGTGTGTCAGAGACTGCTTCTCCCCACCTGCAGGCTGCACCTGCGCCTTGGCAAATGCAGCGCCTGCACCTCCCCAGATGCCGCCCCACCGGTGTGCTCTGCAGCATTGCCCTTCGTGTAGGACTTGCACTTTGCAGTCAGAGCTTTTGTTGTAACTGCTTTAGACTCGTGAGATGTAATGGAGTGGGCTTTGGCCAACAATTTAAGTTTTTGGGATGCCTGCTTCCAACCCAGCTTCCTGGGAATGAGCACCTGGGGGGGGGCAGCAGTGATGGCTGCAGTACTGGCGTCCTTGCCATCCATGTGGGGGACCTGGATTGAGTCCCCCGCTGTGGACTTTGGCCTGTCTCTGGCTGTTGTGGGTGTTTGGGGAGTGAACCAGCAGGTGGAAGTCCTCTCTGCATGTTTACGTGTCTCCTCCTCTTTGGTTTTCTGCTTTTCAAATAAAAAATGAAAATTAGATAAATATTACAACATGTTTATCTATCATTGTGTTGTATTTCTTATTAAATATCCTTCAATACCTTACCTTTTTTTTAACCTAGAAACCTTTTATTTCAGGTATACCAGCTTCAAGCATATCATATATTCAAATTTAGGAACATAGTGATTCTTCCCACCCTACCCTCCCTCCCACCCTTCTTCCTCCTCCCTCTCCTAGTCCCCTTCTTATTTTTTACAAAGATCTATTCTCAGTTAACTTTATACTCATAAGATGAACCCTGCACTAAGTAAAGAGTTCAACAAATAGTATGAAAAGAAAAATAAAACACCTCCTCAACAGTCGAGACAAGGGCTGTTCAAAGTCATCACTTCTCAAAGGGTCAGTTTCACTGCTAAGGATTACCTTTTAGGTGCTCTATTAGTTACCATATTACCTTTACTCTGTCTGGCTAATCTAAAATCTTTTTCTCTATCTTTCAATGTTTTAAAAATCAGCTTTACTCCTGTGAAGACTGATGCAATGAACACGGTTGTAGATGACTCTCTGGCTGTGTCTGGTGTTAAACTGCACCATGCTCATTTAGACACTAACCAAGAGTGTTTGTGTGGGCTGTGCTGTAGCTGGGCTCTGCGCTGCCCCAGGCTCTGGGGGGACGTCGGGTACCCAGGGCACCAGTAATGATTCTGGAAAATCTTCCCTAACAGGTGAAGCTCCAGAGGGCTCTGGAGCATGTGCGGAAAGAGCTGGAGGAAGCTTTGGTGCAGGAGGCCAACGTGGGGAAGAAGACGGTCATCTGGAAGGTAGGCGGCAGTGGGCACCGGAACCCCGGCTGACCGTGGGCTTCAGGGGCTCTCACTGAAGGGTGCAGTCAGTCTGCAGGTCACTCGGCCACTGCCCCTCCCTGCTCCAGCCTTTCTCCATATTCCTGCTGCTGGGGACAAACATCTCAGCGCTCTCTAGGGCCCATAAGTCACGGCGTCCCTTGTTCTCACTTCTACCCACACTGCCAGTCCTCACTATAAACAAGGAGTGTTGCCATCTTCACCCTGCTGCACGCCCATGGCTGCACCCTTCTACCGAGGGCTAAGCTTCCTTCTGCCACTCCTGGTTTACGAATGTTTCTGTCAGGGCATTGACATAAAGACAACCTCACGGCTTTGCACACATGGAGTGCAGCCAGTAACATCTGCCTTACGGACAGGGTCGTCCTGAGAACCTGCAACCTTGTTCAGCCAATCCCTCCAGGCGTTCTGTCCATTCAGCACCTCTCCAACCCGATTTCTTTTCACTTAGTTCATTTACACACACATGCACACACACGCACACACATGTGGTAGTTTCCAACCTGGGAAGATTTCACATCCTCCCCAACAGACGTGTTGCAAAATGCAGAGGTATGTATGGCTGTCACACTGGAGGGGATGGCATCTCACTGGTGGGCACAGCCAGGGATGCAGCTAACACCCCATGAGGCACAGGACGGTCCCTGCAGCTCACTCCAGAGTGGTCTGATCGAGGTCAGTAGCGGCAAGACTGAGAAACTGTAGAAACCATGTGCTATGTGACATCTATAAACTATGCAATATGCCATATGTACACAAGCTATGTGTGTATCACAAACTATGCATATATAAACTCCACATGTATGTTATATATGCAATGTATTATATAATATTTATATACTCAATGTGTGAATTTTATGTACAATGTGCCATATGTATATAAACTATGCATGTATTACACACACAGTGTTATATAATATATAACCTCTACCTGGATATTATATATGCAATGTGTTTTATAATATGCAATGTGTTTTATAATATCTATAAACTCAGTGTGTATTATATATGCAATGTGTTATATAATATGGCAGCCAGGGTTTGTGTTATAGAATGTTGCTATTCTTTCTCTTTCTACCAACAACCTTCTCTGACCATTCTCTTTATTTTTATAATTCTTTCCTTGTTGTTTTACTGGAAAATTTAGCCTCACACTCTAGGTAATTCCATAAGGACCATTTTATTGTAAAAATGTTCCACTAGGGTCTTATATGTTCCTACTGCTCTGTAAATTGTAGATAAGAATAGACATTAATCAGCAATTTTTGTTACTTTTACCTAGTGATCCAAGTCAGCTATGTTCAATCCCAGCCTGACCGTAGATTTAAGAACTCAGAACCCCTGTACCCAAGACCTGGAGTCCTGTATTATTTTAAACCCTCCAGGAATCATTCTAACATAGAGATGATCCTAAGGTCCCTTTCAAAGACAAGTGAACTTGTGTGATCATTGCATCAGTAATGTACCTGGGGAGACAAATGCAACAAAGACAGGACTGATACATGTGAGCTCTAAATTCTACAAAAACACCTAATCTTTCTATCCCTGAAGATATAATTGTAGTGCTTAGGATGGTGTGAACAGACCATGAATTGTAGCCAAATTCCTTCTCCCAGCACCATCCCTGTTGCTCTGGCTGTTACGCGCTCTCGTCCCATGCTGTTAGGCACCCCATGCACCAACAGCAGAGCTCCAACATGCAGGAGCATCACTCATATTCACGTGAGTTGTTCAGCACAGAAATCCGATTACAGAATTCAGAGTTGGTTGCTTTTGCAAAGAGACTGGGACTGTATGCATCTAGCGACTTACAAAGTGGTAGAAAGAGGTAGGGATGGAATATTGGAGCAAGGAGTTGAGTCTTGTGAGTTTGGAGCGAACCGTCATTGGGGTTATAAAAAAGATACTGGTTTTATCTTTTTATCAAACCGAGAAGTCATAATGTGAAAATTGGGGCAGGGAATCCCTGTTAGCCCTGCTGTGAGAGGGTGAATTGCCTCTCGTACTCTTTCAAAGCTGTTTCCCTGGGCCCAGCGCTGTGGTGCGGTAGACTAAGCCTCAGCCTGTGGCTCTGGCATTCCATATGAATGCCCATTCCTGTCCTAGCTGCTGCTCCTCTCCTGATCCAGCTCTCTGCTGTGGCCTGAGAAAGCAGCAGAAGATGGTCCTAGTGCTTGGGTCCCTGCACCTGCATGGGAGACCTGGAAGAAGCTCCTGGCTCTTGGCTTCAGAATGGCCCAGTTCCAGCCATTCCAGCCATTCCAGCCATTTGGGGAGTAAACTAGCAGATAGAAGACCTCTCTCTCTCTCTCTCTCTCTCTCTCTCCTTTCTGTAACTCTCTCAAAAAAATAAATCTTAAAAAAACCTTATTTCCCACAAAACAACCTCACAAGAATAACATGTAGATATAATAATCCCACAGCAATGTACATTCCTTAGATCCACTCAACACTTTTGGGTGTGGGAGTAGGGTGGACTGGGATTATTTCTGTGCAGGGCCTGACAGAGCTAGTGGTCAGGAACCTGCAGTCTGTCCTGGCTGTGCAGAGAACAATGACCTCAGGTTGGGTTCACGGTGACTGTGTTTGTTAGCCTCTAGCCTTCCCTCTCCACCCTCACCCATGGGGGTCTCTCTAATCCCTGTGTTTCAGTTGTCTGTGTTGTTCCCATGGCTCATCGCAGGGGAAGCAGTATCTTCTACAGTGCAGCCATGGTGTGCTGGCTGCTGTTGTCCCAACTCAGTAAATCCTGAGCTCTTGGGTGGCATCTTATATATGGCATTGGCACTGGGATGTAAACATGCCTCCCCTTCCAAGCCTGTGGCGACATTGGAACCAAAATCCAACCGTTTTTCCAGACACTCCCCTGTGGATGGCGTAGGGTAGTCAGTGCACGGACTTACAGAGCTCAGTGGGTGCAGGAGGCGGGAGCCGGGCCACTCTGCCCCAGGTGGTGACGGTGCCATCCCCCGTGCGGCTCCAGGAGAAGGTGGAGATGCAGAGGCAGCGCTTCCGGCTGGAGTTTGAGAAGCATCGGGGCTACCTTGCCGTGGAGGAGCAGCTGCAGCTGCGGCGGCTGGAGGAAGAGGAGCCAGGCACGCTGCAGAGGCTGCGGGACAGCAAAAGCCGGCTGGCCCAGCACAACAAGGCCCTGAGGGAGCTGGCTGAGGAGCTGGAGGAGCGGAGCCGGCGCCCGGACCTTGACCTGCTGGAGGTGAGGCCAGGCCCTGGGGCACGGGCAGGCTCAGGGATGTCACAGGCAGTGCTGGCATTACCCGCCAAGGAGACGTCCTCACCCTAGACACCAGCGTCAGAGTCCGAGGGGCTCTGGAGAACCGGGTTGTGCATGGGGAAGGCAGAGCCTAAATATTTAAACAGCTGAAGTCCATGTAGTGATTTAGGAACACACAGTTAGGAGAAGGCCAGCTGCAGTGAGAAGCCCTGTGTGAGTGGTGCCTGTGCTGGTTTTCAGCGATGTCCCGTGTCCAGTCCAGAAGTCTCTGGGGACCCAAAGGATGCTGGGTGTGTTACACTGTGCAACACACTGTGCAGCAGGAAACCCCACGTTAAACTGTAGGTCTGGTGCTGATGCCTTAGCTGGTGCCCTGTGCCCATCCCAGTACTCCCGTGTGAGTCTCTGTCTGCTTGGGAATGGAGAGCAGGCAGAGGCCTCACAGGGCACAGGGCATGAGCCACAGGGCATAGGGCCCAGGCACAGGGCACAGAGCTGTTCACTTTGAGTTCCCCTTGAGAGCGTGGGGAAAGCCCTGGCTGCTGTTGTGCGTGTTGTCTCTGTGGAATCTGCAGGAGAAATTCAGCCATCAAAGTGAAGATGCCCATACCCCATATCAGCTTGCTTGGGTTCAAGTCCCAATTCTGCTGCCAGTTCTGGCTTCCTGCCATCAAGAAGCAGGTGTTGACTCAAGTACTTGGGTGCCTGCCATCCATGAGGGAGACACAGATGGAATCCAGGCTCCTGGCCTTGGCCTGGCCTGGTCTGGTCCTGGTGATTGTGGGCATTTGGGGAGTGAACCAGTGCATGAGAAAGTCTGTCTGTCTGTCTCTCTCTCTGCCTTTCAAATGAAATAAATAAGTAAATAAAAAGAAGAAAAAAAAACAGAAAGGGAAAGCAACTTTCTGGGCATCCTCTGTGTATCGGCCCAGAACTCTGAACGGATTTCCTGGAGTCCCCCTCCTTAAGGTAGCTCCAGACATCGCGGGCACCGTGCACACACATGGTCACGTGAGTGATCTGTGCAATGCTTGCAAGCAGTCAGTGAACCCTGCTTCTGACAGGGAGGGAGCTTCAATAAATTAGCTCTACAACATGTTTATTTACAAAACATTGCTATTTAAATTTCTCTTCTTCAAAGTATCTATGTAAAAGTCAAATGTATTATTAACACATTTCCTTATGAATTAATAAGGAGTCAGGCATAAATTAATTTCTAAATGACAGCAATAAACACAGGAATCCCAATATTCTCAGTGACATTCACTATCTTACCTTACAATACCTCAAATATCTTATTTAAAGTGAAAAATTCTTAGCACCTAATAAGTGTTAAAATGAATAACAGACATCTGAGAGAGAATATATTCTCAAACAGAAGGCACTCATCTATAATAGCAGCCACAGGGAGAATGTGTATGTAAAAAGAAGGCACTCATCTATAATAGCAGCCACAGGGAGAATGTGTATGTAAACAGAAGGCACTCATCTATAATAGCAGCCACAGGGAGAATGTGTATGTAAACAGAAGGCACTCATCTATAATAGTAACAACAGGGAGAAGCTGTGTGTAAACAGTAGGCACTCATGTATAAGAGAAGCAGCAGGGAGAGCATGCATGTAAACAGTAGGCACTCAGCAGTGCTCTCAGCAGTAGACAGTTGTTTTGCCGCTCACCTTTCCCTTCCTTCCCTGCTGCCATTTTCCCCACAGCCAAGGCACAGTCCTTCCAGTCCCGGGCTGAGGGCGGGGGGATGAATTTCACACCAGTCAGTTTTTCTGATGGGTGACTTTTTCCGGAGAGGAGTGACTTACTTAACAACTGCCCCAAAGATAAAATGTTGCTAGACGGGAGTGCCTTTCTGCTTTATCTAATTAGGTAACGCCCAAATGAGCAGCTCTGCCATCTGTGTCCAAGCACTGGGAATTCGGGGTTCCCGCAGAGACATCAAGGCTGACATTGTACATCTGTACTTACAATGATTGCTCAAATTCTCCGGGTTTAGATCCATCACACCCTAATTCCACCTGCAATTGATGCAGAATGTGATGCTTTATTAAAATACCCAAGTGAGAGGATATCGATTGAGGGAAACACTAGCACTGGTAGAGTGGATAGGTGCTATGCGGGCTGATTCTGTCTGCAGACCCACAGGGAGTGAGGCTTGAATGAAGGCAGATGCACTGTCCCCGACAGTTTTACCTTAAACAAGACAAATTCCCCATAGTTCTCAGGCGTTCTCCAAGCGTGCCCAGAGTGGGTGTGAGGGGCAGCTCAGAGGTCTGACCCTTGTGTCTCTTTCACTTTTAGGGAGTAGGAGGAGCCTTGGGCAGGTATGTCGACTTTGCATCTCCAAGGGAGGGGTGGGCAGAGCTGGCAGGCGGGGCCCCGCCCACGCCTGTGACTGTTGGTTCTGTGCCCCATCCAGAAGTGAGGCTGTGACTCGCCCGGAGCTGGAGACCATCCCCCTGGAGCTGAGGACGCTGTGCCGCATCCCGGGCATGCGAGACATGCTGAGGAGGTTCCGGGGTACGTAGCACCCTGTGCCTAGGGCTTGGGGCTTCCGCGCTTGCTCTGTGTGGGTGGGCTGCAGGGGCCATGGCAGCAAAGCGTTCTCTCGAGATCTTGCAGCTGCTTTGCTGCAGGAGTCTGGGGCTTTGGGCCACAGCCTCTGACCCCAAGACCCACGCTGACAGAGTTGCACCCCCTTCTTGTGCTGGTAGCCATGGGAAGGAAGGCTATGAATGAGGGAGAGGAAGGCATGCCTGTGCTCTCACATGGCCGGGCAACACAGCACCTCTGGTCACCAGATGGCCATTCTGCAGTGCCCTCTTGGCATGTATACCCTTGTTCAGCTGGATTCTGGCACCGTCCAGAGACAGTGCCAGCCCCAGGGGCTGAGGGCTAAGTGCCCAAAGCACCCCACTGTTTCCTCCAGCACCCAGCCCCCAAGCTGAGCTGTCCAGCCACTTACCCTGCCCCAGGCATTTCAGCGGGGTCTAAGAGACGCTGTCATTTCTCTGGAGAGTCCAGATGTGGCCGCCAGGTTCATGGTTGGCAGATTTTTAAAATTTGTTGTTTATTTATATAGACAACAGATTTCATGTAGTTCATGGATACAGTTCTGAGATAATTCCCTGCCTCCTTCTCCCATCCTTCCTTCCTCTTTTGCTCTTTCATTCTTCCTAAAGTTTTGCAATAGCATATTTTTAATTTACTTTATAGTCGCAGGCTGAATGTGTCACTAAAAGTTCAACAGGTAAAAGCAGGAAGACCACTGTTCAGCAGGAATGAACACTAACCCAACCCCAAGATGTCAATTTCACTCATTGACATTAATTTTTGTGTCTTCTCTATATTAGCTACCACAAATCAGGAAAAATGTGGCAGTTGTCTGTGGTTCTGGCCTATTTCACCAAACATAATGGTCTCCAGGTGCATCCATCTTGTGAAAATCAGGATTTCATTCTTTTTATGGCTGTGCATTATTCTATAGTGTATATATACCACATTTTCTTTATCCAGTCATCAATTGATGAACATCTAGGTTAATTCATTGGCATTTTGATTAAGATTGCACTGAATCTGTAAATCGCATTTAGATGGTATCAGTTCTTCCAATCTACCGACATAGAAGATTTTTTCCATCTGGCAGTTTTGATTGACATCTGGGACTTGCAGTCCTTTGCTCTCTGTGCATGTGGCTTCCCAGCATGCACCTGGAATGCCCACTGCACAAAACCACAATGCTGATGATATCATGTTGATTGCGCAATGATTTAGGGTTGCTCCAAAGTCAGACAGGGTCTCACTGTGCACGTGCCATAAGCTAGACTTTTCTGATTTGTCTGAGTTCCCATTTTCTCAGAACTCTTGAGCCACAAGGTAGACTACCAGGTGGGTGGTCTTGGGTGAGACCAGGTGGAGCTCAGGGTCCCTGGTAGCTCACGGCCCCTGGGGGTCTCGGGCCCCTCCGTGGTCGCGCGTGTCTAACTGTGCACACAGCACATCCAGTATATTGTTTCTGGACACGCAACAAGCCTCACCAAATCCCCATGCCACGAACAGGGCCTGGCGAGTCTGGCAGGAGTCAGACTAAGCACGCATGAGGACTTCCTACGGGTTTAGGGGCTTCCAACGTTTCTGCGCCGTGCAACAGGGTCCCCGCCTGCCGGCGCATCCAGAGGACAGGACCTTGCGGCCGAGTCTGCGCCGGACGACACCTGGCTCTAGGGGCCGTGGCCGCCGAAGGTGCCAGAAAGGCACAGGTGCGCGCTCTGCCTGCTGGAGCCAGGCTGGGGCGATGTGGGGGTGCTTCCCGCCCGGCCCCTACCGAGGTCTGATCCGCCCTTTACTCCTCCGCACGACCCCGGCAGCTGACGTGAAGCTGGACCCGGCCACGGCGCACCCCAGCCTGCTGCTGACCGCCGACCTCCGCAGCGTGCAGGACGGCGCGCGCCCCAGGGGCGTCCCCGGCAACCCCGAGCGCTTCGACACGTGGCCGTGCGTGCTGGGCCTGCAGGGCTTCTCGTCCGGGCGCCACTACTGGGAGGTCGCCGTGGGCGAGCGCGCCGAGTGGGGCCTGGGCGTGTGCCAAGACGCTGAGCCGCGGGCCGGGGAGAGCACGCCGTCCCCGGAGCACGGGGTCTGGGCCGTGTGGCTGCTGCGCGACGACGAATACCTGGTGCTGGCCTCGCCGCCCGCGCCTGCCGTGCGCTCGCGCCGGCCACGCCGCGTGGGCGTGTTCCTGGACTACGAGGCGGGAGAAGTGTCCTTCTATGACGCCGCCGACGGCGCGCACATCTACTCGTTCCGCCAGCTCTTCGCGGGCATACTGCGACCCTATTTCTTCGTGTGCGACCGCACGCCGCTGGTCCTGCAGCCGCTGGGCGACGCCGGGGAGGGAGAGGAGGCGGCCTGAGGCCCGGGGGAGGGCGGGCACTGTCCTTTTCAAGCCCCGGAGCGCCCCGGAACTGTGCGCGGGAGGAGCGCGCGGGGGCGGAATGGACTCCGCTCCGCAGCGCTCCGCACGTGTCCCGCGGCTTCCTCCCTGCCAGCGGCTATGTGTAGGCAGACTCTTGCGCCTTCACCTTCACCTCCTTGCTCCCCGGCCCTCTCGTCCCGGGTCTGCGGTCCCTGCGGCTTGGCAGTGGCGCTTCCGCAGCCCCTGGGCGCCACCTTCGGTGCCGGCTCCCTGCGCTGCTCTCCTCCCCGCTGCGCCTTTGCCTATCCCTCGTTCTCCTCCTTACCGCAGTGGTGTGTTTACCTTGTGGCTTCACACTAACGTTGACCCCCATGCTCTCCCAAGACAAGGTGTGGACCCCATGCTCTCCCAAGACAAGGTGTGGACCACTCCCTGCGCCTTCGTGGCCATCATACCTGGGCCCAGGTGCCACCCACATCTCTGTCCCCGCGCCCTCGCAGCTTCCATAGCTGTGCTCAGGTGCTGGCCACCGCCGTCGCCACCGCCTCGCTCCTCGCGCCCTGGCTCTCCTGTCGTGATCGCCTCTTCATTTTTCTTACCCGATTCTGAGAAGCTTTCCGCGATTTTCTCTGGAATTTTGATTCGTTACCAGCAAAATCTCATGCATCCGTATCTATTTCCTGACATCAGCCTACACAGCTTAAACGCAAAGTGTCTGGAACTGAGCCCTGCATCTCCCCACGCCTGCCTCTAAGGAGAAGAGAGCTTCCTGGACTTCTTCATCTGAGGGAGACCACCCTGCTGGTCACCTGTGGAGGCCGCGCACCTGCTGGTCACCTCTGGAAGCCACACACCTGTTGGCGCCTTTCTGGATTCCACCATGCGTAGAACCCACGAGCACCTCTTTCAGGGCCTGCCCAGAGCCCAGATCCCAGAGCCCTGAGCTCCCTAACTGCCCCATTGCTGGCCGCCAGGCTCTCCCCCACCCTTCTCAGTGCAGCAGCGCCAGGGCTGCCATCCAGTGCCCAGGGTGGTGGTGCCCTTGCCCTGAGTTCCCATTCAACTGAGAGTGGAGAGCTTCGGGCCCAAGGCAGGTGAACTCTGATCCCTTCTCTGGCTCCGGCTCCCTCTGCGCTCTGCTCCAACTCCCCTGGCCTTATGGCTGGGTTGACACCAAGCAGATGCTTGCATCGTGGGGCTTTCCAAACTCTGGCTGCTGCTTGGAATCCCCCACCCGCTGAGGTCCCCCAACTGCTCCCTCCACGCCAAGCCTGCTGAATCCTGTGGGTGACACAGCCGCCCACCCAGGGCTCAGGGTCCCAGCCCTGGCACTGGACTCATGGAGACTTTCTCCATATATTGCATCAGCTTCTAGTGTATGGTACTCTCGTGCACTTTATTATTTATTTATTTATTCTTTGCCTTGTTGCTAAAGAGTGAGCATCAGCAGTGGAGGGATCTCTGTCTGCTGGTGACATCTCCCAATCACCTCAGACGCTGGTTCTTGCTCAGTTCATGTTTGTTGAATGAATGCATGACTCACTGTCTGGAGAGCAGAATTAAATAATGGATCTGAGAGTGTTCTGTGGAGGTGTTTTGCAGGGTGCTGAGAGAGAGCCCTGAGTGAGGGGACTGGGAGGAGGGGGATCTGCGGCTGGAAGTGCAGCAGCCTCATCCGGCAGCAGAAGTCGGGGACAAATTCCGAGTGGTGCTGGTGATCCCGCCTGCTCCGTGTGCCCTGCGAGTCTGCTCATATGTTCCTCAGGGAGGAAGAAGGAGCCCAGGTGCCTGCATGTGTGTAGAACATGCACCTGCCTGTGTACATGTGCACACGCACCTGCAGGCAGAGTCTTCCTTGCTCTGATTCGGTGATGACTTCTGCTCCACGGTGCCTGAGCATTCGCCTTCACCTGACTTCACTTCACGTGAACGTGCACCCCGTGACGTCATCCCCCACCCAGTGCACCAGGCTTGCTCTTTTAGTCTGGGAAAGTCGTGGTGAAAGGAAGGCATACAATCCCAGTTGCCCTGCTTCTGGAGATCTAAGGAGGAAGGGAACGCTCGCGGTGTCCCTCTGGGTAGGGTGGGGCTGATTTCGCCCGGGCTCGGGCTCTTCACCGGCATGATCCTTCTTGGGAACACTGGCCCCTGGGTGCCTAGGGAACTGCTGTGTTGACAACAACACATCGACTCCCTGGTTTTGCTTACCTGAGGGACTGCATGGCTTTTACATCAAGCAGCACAATCCCAGGATCCTCATTTTCTGGGTAGACCCTGGGGAGTTGGGGGAGTCTGAGGAGATGCAGGCCTGAGTGTGGTAAGGGCCCCCAGGGGTCAGAAGCCCCCACACTTGAGGGAGGCTGGTGAGCCTGGACCAGCCCCTGGCCCCTGGCATCCCTCCCCCAGGGAGCTGCACCAGCTCAGAGGTGGCACCGCCCTGTGCACAAAGGCAGCGTTGCAGACCTGCAGAGGGTAAGGCCAAACCCAGACAGGCACCTGCGTTTCCTCCTGCAGGTGCAGGTGCAGGTGCACCTGTGTGGGAGTGGAGGGGAAGACACCTCCAGGGCCCTGACTTCTGAGGCTGCCCCACAGTGCAGGAATGAGATGGTGAGTAGCTTCTGCACTGGGGTGCCCAGCTCAGATGTCGGCACTTGGCTGTGGGTTTGAGGAAGTGCCTGACAGCTAAAGAAACAGCATCTGAGTATCGCCCTCCTGGCCAGGGAGTGTGCTGGTGCCGACAGATGCAGAGACACAGACACACACGGGGCAGCCGCACGGTGCCTCCTGTGCTTTGTCTCACAAAGCAGTGCATTTATCCATGCAGATTTATTCTCTGTATCGTTACAAGTTTAGAATATGTGCTGCCGGGGCAAGCACCAGATTTATTCTCAAAAGATTAAATACGAAAGTGTGGGGAGACAACACGAAGAAACACATTTTTTAAACATTAGAGTTAGACTTTGTAGGGGGAAGGACTCTCTAGGATTCGTCAGGCAGAATCAAGGAAAGAGGATCTATGGTGTGAGTTTTACTTTGCCTGAGAGGACCCCTCAGCCTGCACCCCCTGCCCCGAGGGCACCTGCGTGTCTCTGCTTGCCAGCCACGCTTCTGCTTCCGTTGTTTTCAAGGTCTTTAATATTCCAGGTTTAAAGATTTATCTGTATTTTAAGATTTCAAAGCTACATTTTTATCTAAAAATGTGAGCATTTAAAAATGAACTGAAATCGTCCATCCTGTGAGTGCCCCAGTCTCCAGGAGCTGAGACAAGCATGGGTTCTGGCTATGGCTTGGGTGCAAACACATCTGAGATGGAGCAGGGGCACTGGGGGTGGTGACTGCTCTGCCAGCACCCTGGGCAGAAGGGCATTGCCCTGTGACTCTGGGCACACCCCTGGGCTCCCAGGCTCCCAGCTACACTGTCCCCCGAGTGGGTGGCCACCGTCTGAGCAATCCCCGGTCTGTAGTCCTTGGTCTGTTTGCTGGAGGATTCAGTTATTGCCCGTAGTGTGGCGTCACGGAGAGGCACTGTTTCCTGTGGTGGGGGGTAGGGAGGGTGAGATTTGAAGAGTGCAGTACTAGGTCTTCCAGGGGACCTTGTATGGTGCTTGGTCACCTGGTGGGTGGCCCAGCTTAGCAGAGCACCTGTGCTGTGCCAGGTGTGAGAGACGGCTTGGTCTGGTGGGCACCAGGAGGGGAACCTTGACAGTGGTGACAAATCCATGTGACGTGCAGGGCACTTTGCTATGTACAAGCAAAGGTGCCTAAGTAGGGCCAACAAGATGCAGTCTACGGTGGCTGCAGGGGGACTTGGGGAGGGTGGGAGGCCCAGAGAACTGTGCACCAGGACCCTTATGTTGAACAGGATCTGCCTTTCCCACCCAGTCAGGCTTGAACGTTCCTGAGAGGTGTGCGGCAGCCCCAGGGCACTGCAAGGACAAGTCCTCCCGCCCTGTGCTTGTGCTTTGGGCTTGGGGAGAGAAGCAGCATTCATTCCCCCATTTGAAAAACCTCATTTATTTATTCCCATTTATTTATTTATTGCCCATTTGAAAACTCATCTTTGCTGAGTCCACCCAGGTTTGGACGACAGCATGATATGCCCTCTGGGGGACTCTGGCGGGGGGCAGGGCCCAAAGGAGTGGGCATCAGCAGCTTTCTCTGAGAGGAGAGATGGCTGCACGGTGGCTAGGAAGCCTGAGTCCAGCGTCCCCTTTAAATCTGCGCAAGTCCCCAGGGGAGCCTGCCCACCAGCCCGGCCAGGAGACAATCCTGGCATCCAGAGTCAGCCCCGGCCACCACTCCGCTCTCCTGTCACAGCCGGCTTGCGACTGAGACCCTGAGGCTGCACAGAGCTTTGCCAGGTGCGGTGGAATTACTGCAGTGACCTGTGCCTTTCTCCCTGCTGTTCACTGTTTTCATTTTAGGAAATTCTTGTTTAGTAAGGTGGCTGGGACGATGATCCCTGAGAGGGATGATGGAGTGAAGAGGATGCAGCAGCGAGTGCAGAGGACAGGAAACAGTGCATAGGGAATCCTCTGACTCCAACGTTCTACCACACACACACGTGCTCTTCCCAACGCCATGAGCTCGTTGGGTATTAGGTGTTAAAGACGGGGTCATGGGAAATGAAAGTCGCCCCGAGCCGGAAGTGTGTGCTTGGAGATCCTGGTGCTGTTTAAGGGAAAACCCAGCCACACCTACACACACCCCTGTGTTCCACTGTATGCAGGATCTCCATCATACGATTCGTGATGTATCCCCAGAGAGAGAGCAGGTGACAGGGCAATGCAGTGACACTACACACAACCTCTCTCTATGCTCTATTTAACTTCCCACTTGTTTAGAGTATTATTCTTTTGGATAAACTTCCGGCTGATGTCACATACACATACTTCTGAGACGTTGCTAAAATTTGTCTCCAGCTCAAAGCGGTGTCATCATCTGTTGACTCATGCCTGGAACGTCACCCAGGTGCATTACTTCAAAGTATTTTCTACTTCAGGGCTACAAGAATGAAGAATCTAGGGGTGGCTGTATATCAGTTGGGAGTTAATAAATGCAGGATACATTACTAGGCGTGGAATTAGTGAGGCCAAATAAAGGCGTGATTTTAAGTTCAATGGGAGACATTTGTTTCTTTTGTTAAAATGACACTTATGGGGGGGGGGTGTTCGATATAGCAGATCAGACACTGACTGGGACACCTGTAACCCAGAGTGGCTGGTTGCAGGAACCGCTCCATTCCCGACGCCAGCTCCTTGCTCACACACACACTAAGAGCCAGCAGGTCATCCATGTGGGATAGCTGGATTGAGCGCCAGCCCGCAAATTCTGCCTGGTCCCGGCTCTCCTGTGAGGGCATGTGTGAAGCTGCTGAAGGGAGATGCATCCCCACCCCTCTCTCTCCACCTCCCCTCATCACTCCGTCTCACTGCCTTTCAACATATTAGATAAGTGAAGGTATAACACAGTGTCAAGATGTGTGTGTGTATGTTTAAAACAGTAATATTTTAGGGATCGCT